GTCCTCACACTATTATAGGAATACGGCCAGCTGAAGCAACCTACTGTATGTTTGTATGAAATGCACATATCTGTCCACTGTGCTCCTACCTGGGGCTCCCTGAACTCTGCCCTGATTCTAACAGTATACAAACATGAAATGCATGGCACGTCACAGCAGCTCGTGCTCAGGGCCTGTATTGTGAAAAATGTCCTCATCACTCCCACTCCACACATTTGTCACATGCCAAGTGCAAAGTAAATACAGCAATGTCTGTTCTGATTTATCCAGTGCAATCAACCCTTTAAAAAGACAGACAGTCTTGTGACAGCAACTTGTCTACAATTTTTCAACATAATGGCTTTCATGAATTGCCTTATTTAAAGATACAGCTTTTAATATAGCACCACAAGACGGTATTTACAAAACAAGCCTATAAATCAATTATAATTGTTTTTAAGTTTAGGATACAGTGCAGAGGCATGCAAATCATTCCTTTAGGACCCATCCATGCATGTGCGCATGAATGTGCATTAATGTAATGTTGTGCATGGTTTTAAAGCAGCCATCTCAAAATGGGCTGAACACACACAAAAATAGGGCAGCTGTGTGTTGTGCAGACTGCATTCTTTGGGATGCATTTTACAGTGAATGGCGCTGCAGAGCAGCCTCCTTTACATTAGGCAAATTTGAAATTGCAGGCAGAATTGCCACAATTCTGCCCGTGATTCCAAATTGTGGCAAAAAAAAACGCATGATGCGCATTTGTGTGTCATTATTTTTATTGGCACCCCAAAGGTGTTGCAATTCTGTCATGAAAGTTGTGTGGCAAAATGAGCATATAAAAATTTTGCTAAGCTCGTTGCCCAAAAAAGGTGGGGGAGCTTCTTCTGAGCGACAAAAATGCATAGGGTAGCCCAGTGAAGTGAATGGGCTGCCCTTTGGGCGATATGTGGAAACAAGTGTAAAATTGCACTTTTAAAATTGCAAGGGGGAGTGCGCCTTCCCGTAACACAATATCTGAATAGGGCCTTATGCACCTGTGGAAACAAAGTCTACTGGTTTATAACAGATATGGTCTAAATCAATCATATCAGGATGTCTAGCAAGCTTATGGTGAAGCGAGACAAAAGGGGTCCAAAAAGACATTTCAGTGAAGTCCACAAATTAATGCAGCTCTGTATACATGATACACCACAAAAAATAAATAGATGAAATGAGAGTCACTTTGTTGTTTCTGCTTCCTTGTCCAGCCACACACTGGGAGCAGGTCCATGACAGCCTAGGCTTGGAGGAAATTGGGTTTAATGATACTGGGTGTCATTTAACATAGAACTTAGAGCACTTAGGACATCTAGTGGCAAAAAAAAAGCAGCATTGTGGAGAAAAACATTGCATTGAAGGTATTGCAGCAAAAGTAATTTAAAGTCTAACCATTTGTCAACAGCACTATAGCCAAATGATGGCTACAGCGCGGTTTTTCCAGTCCTGGGAGGGCATCATATGACGTTCTCTCAGAGCACGCCCTCAGGGGATGCACAGCCACAGCTGATCACGTTATGTGGTAAAAGGCCAATCACATTGGCCTTTTACCATCTAATCAGCTGTGTCCAATGACACATCAGATCACTGGTAAATACAGTTGCTGGTTATCGGCTGTACTTTACTCACGTTGTCACAGTGTGAGAAAAGTACTGCCGATAACCAGCAATTGTCAGAGGACGGATTGGCACCAATCATCAGGGCACGGATGATCAGTGCCCAGCAGTGCCACCCAATCAACACATCAGTGAAGAAGAAAAATGACTGGTTTGCAAAATGTTAATAGAAACAAAAGAAAAACAAAAAATTTTTTTTTTTTTTGTTATAGCGCAAAAAATAAAAAAAACACCCAGCGGCGACGAAATACCACCAAAAGAAAGCTCTATTTGTGTGAAAAAATGATAAAAATGTCTTATGGGTAGTGTTGCATGACCGCGCAATTGTCAAAGTGTGACAGTGCTGAAAGCCGAAAAATGGCCTTGGCAGGAAGGGGGTAAAAGTGCCCGGTAGGCAAGTGGTTAAAGTGGAATTTTAAAATGGGAAAAAACTATTGGACTATTGGCAAAGAGGCAGAATTTTTAATGCAGAAGAGACATAGTATGTCTCTGCTGCATTAAAATTTCTTTAACTGCTTGATTGGCTAAATAACTATGTCATTTTGGCTAAGCCTGAAGATCGGTACCCGGAAGTTGATCCAGCCAAGGATGACGGTGGCTGGTGGGCAGCTCCAGGACACCACAGAACTGGATAGAAGGCGGGTATAGTTCTTTCATGAACTATACATTTTATAGTTTTTTTTCCCCAATTTCTTGCTAGAGCCGGCTTTAACATCTAAAAAGTCTACATACTTGGCTGTCTCAGGCTTCAGTACCACAAGTCATTAAAGATGAAGCCAGAGTGAAATAATTCTTGATCTGTATACGTTTTAGGTCAGTAACTCAATATGTTAACTCCAATATGGCAACCAGACAACTAGCATTGTCAGAAAGCAAAAATATTTCCTTCAAAAACAGAAGAGGTATTTACATGTCATCACTGCCAAAATATTAATAATAACCAACATTTTAGGATTGTAGGCAGAGCCATTCACCATGTGTTTAAGTACCTGTGCCACCTGTATATCCAGGCAGATTTATTGCACAGATGTGGGCTACAAACCACAAAAAAGGTGTAACAAGGAGAAAAAACAAAAACAATATTTAAAAAAGAATGACTGCTTGTGCTTTCTGTATAAATATGGGGTCAACAAAGAAAAACTAGAGAGAACACAAGGCACTCACCAGCCATACGAGTTTACTCCTGTCAAGTGAATAAACTGTTAAAAAAAAAAAAAAAAAATAGCCTGGACACTAAATACATACACACACACACACGTGTATGTATGTATGTATGTATGTATGTATGTATGTACGTACACACACACACATATATATATATATATATATATATATATATATATATATATATATATATATATATATATATATATATATATATATATATATATACATATATACATACATACATATATACACATATACACACACACACATACATACACACATACACACACACAAAGGACACTCAGAAGCTCGGTCCTAACTTCATGGTGTGCACTAAAGCACGCTAAAACATTTTGTGGATACCCATTTTCTAAAAGACAGCATATGCTCGGCATAAGACTAGGCATACTCCACTGCACCCACAAGACAGTACTTGGGCCTCATGATGGGCTGCTCCAGAGTGACACGCTGCATTGTGGGAGGTGGAAAGTGTTCATGTGTGCTTCATACTTCAAAATTCATGTGCTTAAAAATCCAAATGACGACATCAAGCTACTGACTGTCTTTAATCATATACTCTTTCTGCATACCAATACATTTTACAGTTCCAATAATCTGACTTATAGATACATACTTTAGTTACATGTACATTATTTCATTTGTAAAACTGCAACCAGCCCCACCGATTACTACATTTGTATATAGCAAGTGGCTTTTGTTCACTTCCAAAAAGACACCTAACTGCAATGAGCAGTCCATTGCTTTTGGTTAAAGAAAAATAAGAAATTAGAATAGATTATAATTGTGTCCAATAATAAAAGCCCATGCCAAGCACATTTATTTTTAAGGCTACATGCACAGGGCATATGAATAAATGTTCCAAATATACTACCAGAAGTTGGCAGGAAAAAAAAGCCTGTGATGTCAGGTGTTTAAATGCGCAGGGGCATAAACTCATTCTATTGGCTAGACCTGTGGTCGGCAAGCCGCGGCTCGCGAGCCACATGTGGCTCTTTACAAACTTTAATGCGGCTCTTCTGTGTGCCGGGCGCCCGCTCCCCTCCCTCCTCTCAGGCGGCCGCCCCAAAAGTCAGGACTCTGCAGCTAGCCCAGCAATGGGCAAACTACGGCCCGGCGGACCTTTTAATCCGGCCCGCGGAGCGTGGCAAACATTGGCTGTCAGGATGTAGGCGGGGCAGCCAGGATGTAGGGGGGGCAGCGTGACGAACTCCTCTCCACTCACAGTCCGCCCTGAAGACCGGAACGGCGCGGGAACACGGCGAGAGGAACGCGCAGAGCAAAAGTAAGTGAATTGACACAATATGGGGAATGTATTACTATAGGGGGGATGAATTACTATATGGGGGATGTATTTTCAGTTTAAAAAATGTGGCTCTCAAAATAAATTTCAATCGTGGTTTTGGCGAGATTTGGCTCAGTTGAAAAAAAAGGTTGCCCACCACTGGGCTAGAGTATTTGTTTATTTTAGCCACTACAATGATTTTGCGTGCACATGCACCCATCTACGCACATGACCACATAAAATACATTGAAAAACTCCTCTCTGAAGACAGAATTGGATTTTTTTTTTTTTTATTCCACTGCTGAATGCCGATCTAAAATATGCTGGTAAAAAACGACAGTGTGTTTATGAACATTGGATAACCTACAGCTTTTATCAGAGACCCCTCACATTGGCATTTCTGCCTGTGTGCATGAGGACTTAGAGTGCACATAGAACTTGAGAACTTCTAAGATGAAATATTACCTTTAAAACATCTGTAGGGTTGGCAATACATGAGGAAACCACTCCAGACAAAACGCCACAAAAAACATTAAGAACCAACGTCTCATCTATGGGTTGAAAAAAAAATGAAAAAAAAAATGTTAATTTAGCAAAATTATTGAACATGTATGTTTAAACATGAATTCTTAACAGTGTCTCAGTATGCCTGAATATTAGAACAAATGGTTTTATTTCACTAGCTAAAAAAGAAATGACTTTATATGCGCAGTACAATGTGGAAATCGTAGCTAGTCCCCCAGCATTTTGTGTTACATTCCTAAGCATATTAAATGTATCAGGTGCTGCTGTTAGGCAAGGGAATGAAATATTACAGAACGCAAGCGCACATCATTCAAAACTCAGATCAGCAACATACAATTAAATTTTAGTGCCCTTCTTGGAGGAGATTGAGGACTTCAGCCTTAGGAACCTCCATCATCTTTATGTATGTACAGTTTTTTAATGTACAAGATGCAGGTGATGGCCATCTTTATATTATACAGTATTTATATAGCGCCAAAAGTTTGCTCAATGATGTACATTATAATGGGAGACAGTACATGAGAACACAGTAACAATACAATGCGATACACAAGGGGTTCGAGGGTCCTGCTCCTTGGAGCTTACAATCTAGGAGGGAGGGGAGAGTGGTACAGGAGGAGATAGCTGTGGGGGATGGAGTGGTTGGAAGAGCGGAGGAGATCAGCAATTAGGTGAGGGCTGGGTAGGCTTCTCTGAAGAGATGGGTTTTCAGGGTGCGCCTAAAGCTGAGGAGGGAAGATGACAGTTTGACGGATTGGGGTAGTGAGTTCCAAGAGGATGGGGGAAGCCCTGGAGACTGGCATGGGAGGAGGAGACCAGGGAACTGGAGAGTAGGAGGTCTTGTGAGGAGCGAAGAGTGCGTTTTGGGTGGTAGATGGATATCAGGTCAGTGATTTAGTTTGGGGCAGTGTTATGGATAGCTTTGTACGTCAATGTTAATATTTTGAATTCTATGCGTTGGGCAATCAGAAGCCAGTGGAGGGATTGGCAGAGGGGGGAGGCGGATACGGAGCGGTTGGTGAGGTGGAGGAGTCTGGTCGCAGAATTCAGGATAGACTGAAGCAGGGATAGCCTGTGTTGGGGTAGGCCGGCGAGGGAGTTGCAGTAGTCAAGTCGTGATATGATAAGGGAGTGAATGAGTTGCTTAGTGGTTTCAGGAGTTAGGAACGTGCGTATTTTGGAGATGTTGAGGAGGTGGAGTCTGCATGAATTTGTCAGCGATTGGATCTGGGGCTGGAAAGACAGGTTGGAGTCTAGAATGACACCTAGTACTTTGGCTTGCAGGGTGGGGCTGATGGTGGCGTTGTTGGTCGTGATGGACCACACTACACAAAAAACACACTACACAAGCTATGCAAAGTAAGATATGATTACAATAAGATTGAGATTGGACAGCATCTCCATAAAGTGCTTGCTTCTATGTTTTTCAGCGTTCAAGTTCTTGCACATGTGTATGAGGAGCTCCTCAGACCTTGCGCATCCAGACATCCCATGAGGTCCTCCATACAGCATCACTTTACTTTCACTTTGTCTATAGTATAGAATCATATCTAAGGCCTAAGTGATAAAGGCATTAATCAAAGGCCTTAAAATTTAAAAAAAAAAAAAAAAGACTTAAGATTTACCATTTTATTACTTTTCTCTTACTTACTTGTGGAAAACACCAACAAATATTTTTCTCAAGTATTTGAGTTCTTATGTAGCATGCCTAGTATCTTACAATAAAATGACTCAAGGAGCTACTTGACAGATCAAACTTTATACACACCTTCAGGGCGATCAACAAACACTCTTTTCAGGCTCTGATAAGTGCCGATTTTAATTGTGCCATATGACGCTTGGCGAAGCATTGCTGGTGCAATCCTATGTAGAAAGAAAAAAAAAAAAAAAAAAAGTCAGTTATGAAAACTTGACATTGTACTGTGGGAGACCAGATATAGTGAATGCAGGGTCATGGGTTTAGTAACACTTTAAAAGACTTAGCGGAATCCGATCTTGTTCCATTGCTATGCCCTTCCGCAGCAGCTTCCCCCCCCCCCCTTGCCAATGGCTCCTACTGCAGCCATCAGTCAAATACAGAAAGGAGGGAGCAGGGGGCGGGGCCAAGCCATGCTGTGTGGGTCTATGAACACACATAGTGCCCCCAAAGCAAGTGATTTAGATTGTGTCAGTAGGTTAAAGCCCGACTCCAGAAAAAATGAAAAAATTTCCTCTGCAGTGGAACCTGAGCCCGCACTGCAGGGGATAACTGCTCATTTAGGTCTAGGAGAGAGAGTAAGAACATTTTATTTACCAGACCCGCTGCTATCCCAGCGAATGGCACGCCTTAGACCACCTGAGTGTAGGGACAAAGACTTCAGGAACTGGTCTAGCAGCATGAAGGACAGGGTAAGTAAATACAATTTACTTTTACACACCTCCTAGACCCATCCCAAGGGGGGGAATTTTAGATACCTGGGAGTTGGAGCTTTAGGACAAAATGAGGGAAAATGGGTAAGTTAGTTTATTAACTGTACTGCTAGCGTTGCAGAATTAATTTCCAAATTGAACTGTATTGTAAGATCTCAATAGACAAGCACGTGGATTTAGGTGAAGGTTCAGTCTGGTGTTTGTACATTGCAGACTATTTTGTAATCAGTATACACAGGAGGTAATCTCAGAGAAAAAAAACTTCTAATAACAGTCACCCATCTGGCTACTCACAATAAACAAAAAAAGTGTTATGAACACAAATACATTTCTTCTTAACTATGGTATTTATATTACAGAAATTAAAAAAAAAAAAAAAAAAAAAAAAAAAAAAGAAGGAGGGGAAGAAGAATAGACCATTAAAAGAAAGAATAAAAAAACCCCAACATAACCAACTTTTAATACTATACTCACCTGCAACCTAGGAGGATCTGACTGGTTCCTTGGGCTGCTACTCCCTCTCACACTCCAGCCCTGCTGTACAGGGACTGCAAAAGACTGATACCAGGGCAAATTGTATTTTTACTTCTTGCATTTAATGATGTACTAAGTATTACGTTAAATTTATGTCTTTTACACCTGCCTAGAGTAATAGTTTTAAGGAAATGTGTCATGTAAGAAGTATTGAAGCTACCATTGCAGATCTTGCCTTCTAAAAATGCAAGTTAATTGGCTTTCATCCTGGCCCTCTTGCAGCAATACTCTGGGTCACTGTAGGCCAACTATACATTCCCTTTCAAATTTGTATATACTCCCTTCTCTTTAGGGGTTGATTTACTAAAACTGGAGAGCGCACCAATTGGTGCAGCTGTGCATAAAAAACAATCAGCTTCCAGATTTTATTGCCAAAGCTGAATTGAACAAGCTGAGGTTGGAAGCTGATTGGCTACCATGCACAACTGCACTAGATTTTGCACTCTCCATTTTTAGTTAATCTCCCCCAAAGAGTCATAGTTCAGCCAAAATACATACAGTAAATATGAAAGTGTGTTACTTACCCAGAGTACAGCGCTTTAAATCCCTCCTCTTGACCTATTCTGACAAGTGCATGGAGCATTCCTCGGTAGCGGATTTCTTTGTATTTTGCATCATTTGCTTGTCCTTGCACCTGCAGCCGTGTTTTTGTTAAGTCTATAGGAAAAGTGCCTAGGGAAACCAAAAAAAAGTCAGTAAATAAGGGCTTTTGACTTTGACAATGGATTCTGTAACATGACTAATAAGGTTCACATTTACTGATAGAGACCAATTCTCCGATCCTTTAAAAACAGTGCTACCTCTAGCATTGGCACAATTCCACATTGCTGCAGATGAACGATTTGCCTAGGAGACAACACTGTTCCCAAGACTTGGACAAAAGCACCTTCCAGTACTGGTCAGGAGCCTGGACTATGCCAGATATCTTGGTCAGTTACTTAAAGGAAAAGAAGTCAACAAGCTAAAAAATATCTTTCTGATGGAGTATACCAATGTCAAGAATTACAGATTGTATGATTTTTCCAGAAAAGCGAGGCACCTGGTCAGCATGGCTGCTAGTGACACAACTGCCTTTAAAAATAGTTCACTTAAGCAAAAGAACAACTGGCTTACGAACTGAAAGAGGTAATCCTCCCCTGCAACTGCAGAACATGTAGGAAAGTATCTTTGAAATCCACTGTCAGGAGACTCCCTGTTGGAGACAGGTCACCGCAGACTACACGATTCTATGTGGAACTTTTGCACTCGTAGATAATTTGTTGAGTCTCTGGAGATCCAAGACAGAATGAACATCTCCATTTGGTTTTAGAACCTTGAAAAGATTTGAGTAGAAACTGCAAAACTTTTCATCCTCTGGAAAGGTATTGACCACGCCTTGAGATAGAAGATGATCAAGAGAGTACAAGAATGGCAATCTGCTTTGTGGATTTACAGACACTGTCAAAAAAACTGAAGTCTCACCTAACACAGAAAGGGGGGGTTTGGGGATATGCATGGCAGGATACTTTGTCTTTTTTCCAGGTATCCAATGACCTAATATGGATGCTCTATGTTACGCTATGTAGGAAAAAAAAAATTTTTTCCTCCGTTTTCCATTTCTGTGGGTTAGGATTAGTGTATATATTAGTTTGCATTTATGTGTACCTTGGGGTGCAACTAATTACAGGAAGTTTTTCGGTACTGTGGACTGTTCCGTACTGTGGCCGGATATTGGTAATCATTCAAAAGCCATATATTCTTTCAAGGTAATTTTACTTTAGGCAAGTAAAATAATATAACAAACAATTTCTTTTGATAGTTCTTCCAGCTTCAGCATTCTGAACTTTACCACAGTACATATGTTACTAATGAAAAGGTGTTCTTTAGCAAACAAACATGTGGAAAAACAGAGGCTTCAGGGCTTTTGTGTGCAACTCCAGCCAGTACAGCTCACGGCTGAAATTATGAACATGAGCAAGTATAAGGCAAGTTTAAAACTGAACCTTTAGTTTACCCCCTCCCCTGCAAGTACTGAGCAAAGCAGAACCCACAAAATGTAACAAGCAGGCTCTTCCAGGGCTGAAAGTGTGAGCTCCCTGCGAGCTCAAGCACCATCAAGGTGTGTGTGTATTAAAAAAAAAAAAAAAAAAAAAAAGTATAATATATATAAAAAAAATTTTTATTAATAAGTAAATATGAAATACAACATATGAATACTTCAGATTTACATTTTTAAACCAGCAGTTGAAGAATCCTGTCCACGTTAATTTAGGCCATCCTTTTCAGCTTGTCCTACTTTAATAAAAGCTCCCTCCAGCTTTCAACAGAGGAATTAATCTAATGGACTATAGTTCTGCCTTCTAGTAAACACTCACAACTTACCACATTCAGCCGTAATTGATGCTAATCCTCCATATATAAATGGCTTCCAGTTTAAAGCAGACATGTTCACGTCTGGAGTTTCTATTTTGCCTGTAACATTTAGAAGATTATTATTCCAGCTCATGATCAAGACATTACATGAAGAACAAGGCTGCAAATAGACCAAGAAAAAAAAAAAAAAAAAAAAAAAAAAAAAAAAAGAAAAGTAAAAGAATAAATCTGGCAAACTAAACAAAACATCATGTGAATGATTTAGAATGGTCCATTACTCACAGGATGAAAATAAGATTTAGGCTAGGTTAACACCTATGCACTTTGCATTTGACCCGTTTCTGCATTGCGTTTTGCACCTGCATCTCTTGCCCCATTTTTGCTTTTTTTTTCTTGTTGCTTGGCAGATTTAAAAAACGCAAAAAACTCATCAAAAAACGAAGCAAAAATGCACTACATGAATTTCCCCAGCGCTTCCATTGAAGTCTATAGAACCAAAAACACAACTGTATGCGTTCAAAAAAGTCCGGCACGTTACAAAAAATGCACCGGGTACAAAATGCAGAGATGTGAACGTGTCTCATAGTAAATCATGTTAAATGGACTGTAGTGCATTTCTGAAAAATGCTGTGGAAAAAACGCTTAGGTGTGAACCTAGGATAAAGAAGTTCCTACATGTACATTCCACTTGTCTGCAGCAGATTGCCTGGGTTCCACTTAAATATGCAACATTGTGACATGCCCTCATACCAGGAGAAAAAGCATCATCACAAGGCTGTGTTGCACAAGTCAAAGCTCCAATATTTCTGCACAGATTCTCTTAGGCTCCATGTACACAAGCCTACCCTGACCGCCGGCTGGGGGAAAAATGCAAATCGCTGCAAACTGCGGTTACCGCAATTCTGTGTTTTCCCGCAGTTAGTGGTCAGAACATTCCTATCCTGAACGCGATTCTTCCGCATTCAGGAGAGGGAAATTTAACCTCACCTAAACGCGGCAGCTCCTAAACTCTGCTAAAAGCCTATGTGTACATGCTTTTATGGAGCTGAGTTTAGGAGCTTTTGGCATTTTTTTTGCCAAACCTCCTAAACTCCAGGTTTAGGAGCTGCTCGTGTACATGAAGCCTTAAAATGGTACTGCCAGCAAACTACTACGTCTTAAACTTCAAAATGCACATACCAAATTATTATGCAAATGATATTTTTCTCATTTACCTAAATAATTGATGTAAATAACAGTCAGCATAATTCTCATGTTATCAACTATTAAGAGTACAATTCACTTTTTATTGAACAAACCTCCTAATGAGAACAGGATTTTTTTAAAACATAAAAAAAAAAAACAAAAAAAAAAACAAAAACAAAAAAAAAAAAAAAAAAAAAAAACCTTACAATGCACTGTTCCAAATTACTACGCACAGTAAGTTTCAAAACACCTTGTAAAGAACTGAAAATTGTCATTTGTTGTGTTTGCAGCATATTTACTGAAATCAAAAGCTATTTCAAACTTTTAACAACATTTTAAGTTTTTAAACATTTTAACAGGTCACGTTACATTGTAACATAGGACCAGTTATTTGATAGCAGCTTCACAAGTCTTGCATCCATTGAACTTGTGAGTTTTTGGACAGTTTCTGCTTGAATTTGTTTGCAAGATGTCAGAATAGCCTCCCAGAGCTGCTGTTTGGATGTAAACTGCCTCCCACCCTCATAGATCTTTTGGTTGAGGATGCTCCAAAGGTTCTCAATAGGATTGAGGTCAGGGGAGGATGGAGGCCACACCATGACTTTCTCTCCTTTTATCCCCATAGCAGCCATTGATGCAGAGGTATTCTTTGCAGCATGAGATGGTGCATTGTCATGCATGAAGATGATTTTATTACGGAAAGCATAGTTCTTCCTTCTGTACCAGGGAAGAAAGTGGTCAGTCATAAACTCCACATGCGCAAAAACCACTGCACAGAGCAGGCAAGTAAAGACAGTTTTGTTATTTAAAAAGAAAAAAAAAAAAAAAAAAAAAAAAAAAAAAAAACACAAAAAAACACAACACAAACAAAAGATTTAATGTCACAGGTTGAAGGATGGGGGGGGGGGGGGGGGGGGGTAAAGGGGGGGTGTAAATGTATATACCATATTTTTCGCTCCATAAGACGCACTTTTTTTCCCCCTCAAAAAAGGGGGGAAAATGTCAGTGCGTCTTATGGAGCGAATATGGAGCAGCCGGTCCGGTATTTCCACCGCCGCCATGTCAGAATACCGGGCCGGCCGCTCAGCTCTACAGCAGGACCTTACCTGTTCCTCGGTCCATCGCTGCGCAGTCTTCCCGCGCTTCTTTAGTGTGGGCTCTCGGCTTGACAGCCGGGTGCCCAGTGCGCATGTGCGAGTAGCGCTGCACTTTGTGAATGATACGGCATCTTCTGGGACACATGACAGGTCCCAGAAAATGGCAGACCAATCACAAAGCGCAGCGCTTCTCGTGCATGCGCACTGGGCACCCGGCTGTCAGGCCGAGAGCCCACACTAAAGGGAGGACAACTCCGCGGAAGTGGGAGCGGGTACCTGTCAAATTCAGGTACCCGCTCCCCCTCCCTCCCCAAAGGTCAGCAGTCACCCCCTGCACCGTGTCCGCACTCTCCTGGTCACCCCCTGCACCGTGTCCGCACTCTCCTGGTCACCCCCTGCACCGTGTCCGCACTCTCCTGGTCACCCCCTGCACCGTGTCCGCACTCTCCTGGTCACCCCCTGCACCGTGTCCGCACTCTCCTGGTCACCCCCTGCACCGTGTCCGCACTCTCCTGGTCACCCCCTGCACCGTGTCCGCACTCTCCTGGTCACCCCCTGCACCGTGTCCGCACTCTCCTGGTCACCCCCTGCACCGTGTCCGCACTCTCCTGGTCACCCCCTGCACCGTGTCCGCAGTCTCTGGTCACCCCCTGCACCGTGTCCGCAGTCTCTGGTCACCCCCTGCACCGTGTCCGCAGTCTCTGGTCATCCCCTGTACCGTGTCCGCAGTCTCTGGTCATCCCCTGTACTGTGTCCGCAGTCTCTGGTCATCTCCTGTACTGCGTCCGCAGTCCATTGGTTCAGAATATTTTTTTATCTTGTTTTCTGCCTCTAAAACCTAGGTGCGTCTTATGGAGCGAAAAATACGGTATATAAAAAAAAAAAAAATAAATATCGGATTTCCACAACACAGAGTTGATGGGAGAATCCCTCCCACTGCGCTATTGTACTCTGACAGCAGGAGGTTTCCCTACTGTTAAAGCACAATGATTACTGCCACCAATGGTAGTAATCATATGAAAAAACCCAACAGGCTGGTTGTACTGAAGTTGGTACATAGATCGACTTCACTAGAACCAACCTGCCCATATATGGATCAAATGTTAATGAGCTACAAGTTGGATAATCATCACACAAGATGCAAACCCATCAGCTGCCACGAGAAAAGAACCCCCGTGCACCGGAAAGGAGGTAATCGTGAAAGCATACTAAACCCTAAATGTGGTTGTAACATTATGCACGGATAAAAGATCACTGCACACCGATAAGGTCCTTAGAGTTCACCTTTACTGTAAAGAAACACCATGAGCACTGCCAGTCCCTGCCCTGGCCCCTCCTCCACTCAATAGACCCGAATGGGTAAAACACATTAGAGGGGGCAGTCCCAGGATAGGGACTGTCATTGCAATGCTCAATGGCTGTTCTATACAATAAACATGGACTCCAGTGTGTCCTTGGAAAAAGGATGGACATGAAGATTTCCTGTCAAGAGCCATTGCCATAGATACAATACAAAGACAACCAAGCTATGTAATTAACTCCATAGTCCTGTATCAGTGCTTACACTGGCATCCTATAGACGACACATACTTCTGGTGACCTGCTAAGAAACATGAGCTCAGTATTTCCGGCAACACTACATAAGCATGTGGAGAGGGCAAAACACTTTGGAACATTCTGTTCCAGACAAATCAAGTAGAATGCCTCTATTAGAATTCCTTCTTATGCAAATTAGGATTTGTGTGATACAGCTGACATTTAACTGTTTATACACTCCACAAATCACGGCTCCTCCAAAGTAGAAACTTATACCAACAAAGAGGGAGTAAGCCAAAGTCATTTTTTTCCTTTGCTAAATTAGCCGCTAATAGCAGCGGCTCACAGGCCCTTTTGCCGTTTTTAGATTTCTCCTCTGAGCTTCCTCCTAATATTGTCCCCTGGCGTCTCCACAGACATATCTGGAGTTGGGCGGTGTGGTCTGGGGTCAGTATTAGGCCTCATTCAATTGGCCGTACTTAAAGCAGAACTTTGGGCAAAAAAAAAAAAAAATGTCTTTACATGTCCAGGTAGCAGATTTCCTGCCTTCACTGAATATATCATCCATCTTCTGGTTCACTCAGTTTATCTAAAGTAGCCTGATAAATTTTAAAATGAAACCGTTAAATCCCAGGGGTTTCCTGTTCATAAGACCAGTGGCTGCTATGCCTCCTATTCCTCCAGCCGCTGGTCTTAGCACATCTCTTCTGTAGTTCTAAGCCCACTAAAGGGTGATTTTTGGAGCCTATCCCAGAGTTCAAGTGTACACCTGCCATTCTTTGAATGCACAGGTCTTCATGCATCACTGTTCAGACAGTCCCATTGATGCTAATTTGGATGCAACAGCTGCAATTTTACATTTGTGTGTGTTTCTGAACATAAATAGTGTGCATTTGGGGATATGCACCAGCACCCACACAGATGTCAAATTGGGAGCAGTGGCTGTGTCCATGCAGCTGCTGCGCCCCAACTGACATGATGGTGACTGCCTGCACACAGATGTATGAACACCTGTGCATCCTGCACAGGGAAAAAATGGCCCTCCTACGGGTATATGCTTAAATACGCCCATGCGAATAAGGTCTTAAGAGGGAGCTCAGAGGAGGAAAAAAAAAAAATAAGACAGCCAGAGCATGCAAGTTTTAGCCCTCATACACACTGGGGAATTTTACAGCTGCTGTCTTTGGCTTCTGGTGTACTTTTTCTACAGCCAGTAAACACCCCATGAGCGGTTTGTGGCCGTGGGCATTTTCTG